CCGATCTGCAGAGCCTACGATTGCAGCCCCACTCCACCTACAGCAAGGAAAAAAAATGATAGAGGCATGCCCAACACCGGTTTGGCCCTCCCCAGACCCTGGAAAGGCAGGGACTGTACAGCTTTTTTTCTCCATTACCATAACATGAAGGGGATCGCTGCCGGGCCAGAAGACAAGGATTCCCAGGGTAAGTCACCTCCACACAGAGCTTCCAGTCAGTCCCGAGCAGAACTTTTCCAACAGTTCCAGGAAACATGTTACCCCCGTCCAGAGGATACACTAATAACTGAGGCCATGGCTTGGAGGACTGCCTTTTAACCTGTGGAGGGTAATGTATTTCTTGTCCCATGGGAGGAGCTCTACGTCTCATGGGCTGTCCTAGAAGACAACTTGGGAAATAATTATTTGATCCCCTGCTGATTTTGTATGTTTGCCCACTTGAAATGAAGAAATTAAGGATTTATAATTTTTAGCACAGGTATATTTTAAATGATAGACAGAATATCAACCAAAAATTCTGGAAAAAACACGATACAATTGAGATAAATTGAGTTGCAGTTCAGTGAGTAAAAGAAATATTTGATCCCCAAGCAAAACATGACTTGGTACTTGGTGGAGAAACCCTTGTTGGCAAGCACAAGGTAAGACATTTCTTGTAGTTGGTTACGAGGTTTGCACACATCTCAGGAGGGATTTTGGTTCAGTCTTTACAGATCTTCTCTAAATCCTTAAGGTTTCTTGGCTGTTGATTTGCAACTCAAAGTTTCATCTCCCTGCATAAATCTTCTATAGGATTAAGGGCTGGAGACTGGCTAGGCCACTCCATGACCTTAATGTGTTTCTTTTGGGGCCACTCCATTGTTGCCTTGGTGGTATGTTTTGGGTCATTGTCATGTTGGAAGACCTATCCACGACCCATCTTCAGTGTTCTGGCTGAGGGAAGAAGGTTCTCATCCAAAATGTAATAATACATGGCCCCATCCATTGGCCCCTTGATGTGGCAGTCAGCCTGTACCTTTAGCACAGAAGCACCCCAAAGCATAAGGTTTCCACGTCCGTGCTTGACTGTAGGGATGGTGTTCTTAGGGTCATAGTCAGCATTTTTCTTCCAAACACTGTGAGTTGAGTTAATGCCAAAGAGTTGAGTTAATGCCAAAGAGCTTAATTTTGGTCTCATCTGACCACAGCACTCCCAATCCGTCTCTGAATCATTTAGATGTATATTGGCAAACTACAGCCGGGCCTGTACATCTTCTTGAAGAGCGGGACCTTGGGGGTGCTGCAGGATTTCAATCCATGGCAGCGTATTGTGTTACCAATGGTTTGTTTGGTGACTGTGGTCCCAACTGCCTTGAGATCATTCACAAGCTCCTCCTGTGTAGTTCTGGGCTGATCCCTCACTTTTCTCATCATCCTTACCCCATGGAGCGAAAACCTGCATGGAGCTCCAGACCGAGGGTGACTTGAGTGATTATACACACATGGAAGAAATACAAAATAACCAACAGTTGTCTCCTTCTCACCAAGATTCTTGCTGATGGTCTTGTAACCAGTCCAGCCTTGTGCAGGTCTACAATCTTGTCCCTGACATTCTTTGAAAGCTCTTTGGTCTTGCCCAGGGTGATTGTGAGGTTTGAATGGAAGAAAGAGATTTTGTGGACAGTTGTCTTTTATACACATAACGAGTTGTTGTCAGGAGCACCGTCTTAAATTGACAAGACAAATCTGTTTACCACATGAGCACATAGCCAGTCTGTGGGAGCCCCAATTATTGTTGGTTGGGAGGGGGTCAAATAGTTATTTTACTCACTGAACTGCAACTCAATTTCTAACATCTGTATCGTGGTTTGTTTCTGGATAATTGGTTGATATTATGTCTGTATCATTCAAAATACACCTACCTATGATAAAAATGATAGATCCTTCATTTCTTTGAAGGTGGGCAAACAAAATCTGCAGGGGATCAAATAATTATTAAGTATCCCTGCAAAATGCCCATGTCACTGTTCAAGCAGATAGATGCACTATGTACTGAATGTCTATGGTAGAAATGCACCCCTAGGATAGCCTTAAGTGTCCTCAAGTTACCAACCTCAAAAGCAGGACTGGCCTTTCCAAATTTCTATGCTTATGATCTAGCCTTCCAACTTGCAAATGTACATGGCTGGCTTAACCCTATTGCAACTAATGCGTGCACAACCCCTGAAGCTGCTATAACTTCCTCTTCCTGCAAAATATTGTCTACAGGCGTCAGGTCCTTCCCCTTCATGGCACACCTTTGCTAAACTCTACCATTTCCTTATTTCTCCATATTCAGAATCATGTTATGCCTCCACACTGGTCCACCTCACCTAACTCTCCCCGAGGCCAAATCCCTCCCTTCCGGCACTAGGACCTATTCCTGATGTACAGAGGTGGTATTCCAAAGGCATTAAATGTATGCATTGTATATATACCCCACGGGATTTTAAATCCTTTGATCAGTAAAGTGAAGAATTTGGAATCCCAGACTTTTTCAACTCAGCCATGCCATTAAAGCTGAATTTGGTTCCCTGTCCAGCCCTATTGACGTTATCCCTCTAGAGAAGCAACTGCACACATTTGACACCACTGGATTGATTTCCTTGTATTATTCTGCTCTTACTCGTAATTTTAATGATACTCAGTGGCCCAATGAAAACAGCTGTCATTTGACCTACACATTAGAGATTCAGACTAGTCAGAGTTTGAAAGGACATACAAATCCTCAGTCAGTCATTCAGCTTAAAATGTTCCACCATGGTCACTGTACCCCTGTATGCTTACATAAAATAGGCATACGCCCAAACACTTTCTGCTTCAGAGGTTGCAGAGATGTGGACGATTTTGAATGCTGCTTTTGGACCTGCCCAGTTGTTCAAGCTTTTTGGTCTGAGATTGCCACCTTCGTCTCTTCAACCTTGGGCCTTCCTAAAATTTCCCATCCAAAAAACTGTCTCTGCGGCATCTTTGGAGATTTATCCATTTCTAAATATGAGAAAAGGTCACGATCACCCAACTCACTGATGCACGTGGGGAGCGAAGGCTGGCCTGTGTAGTCCAATTCAATAGAGGAGCTACTGTGCTCAAACTGTTGAAAATGTTAATGGTGGTTCCAATAGAAAAGTATCAGAACACAGAGTGCATTTCAGTTTATAGTATATGAGCCTGTTAGGTCAGCAAGGACACCCTGACCGATCTGTGGCTGTGTACACAGCCAAAATCGCCTTGAATGGGCATCAAAAATGGACCAGAGAGCAATGAAAGAAGGTGGCCTACTCTGATGAATTCAAGAATGGTTTCATGAACACGAGTTTGAGGTAAGGACTTGGCCTCCAAATTCTCCAGATCGCAATGTGGAATGTGCTGGGAAAACAAGTTTGATACATGGAGGCTCCACCTTTCAACTTACAAGACTTAAAGGATCTGGTACGGACAACTTGGTGCCAGATACCGCAAGCATACCTTCAGAGTTCCAGTAGAATCCATGCCTCGTCAGCTTATGGTTGATAGGGAGTATGATTATGTTTATCTGTCAGCTTGTTCAGCATTAATACCTATTCCATGTCAAAATACTCCAGTTTTAAGGCCCTTGCAATGTTGAGATCAGAATAAACTTTTGAATGTCTATATTACCCATCTACTCTGTATGCAGACTTGTTTATTCTAAATGTCAATGCTGTGAATTGGTATTACTATCAAAATGTTTGTAAATAGAAAAAGAAAGGCTAACATTTTCAGCATTTGGTAGAGTAGGAAATGTTTAAATCTTTGCCAATTTTTTCTTCTTGGTTCCAGCTGCTGAGATTTTCTGAAGAAAGGTGTTCACAAGGAAACATTTCCCCTCTATCTCTGGGGTCAACTGTACAATTGTGGATTTCTCACTGCTTTCATTGTGGGTAACAAGGATACCAATACACAGGGTGAACCTCCCCACCACAGACATTAAAAAACAACAAAAATACAAATAAATAAAACACACACATAATGACAAAGGTGCCATCATTTCCCATCCTAGCCAAAAAAATCTGGCTATGAATACACTTTAAAACAAAAAGGACCTCAAAAAGTAAAATTTTCTCAAAACATAGCTCTCCACAGCATTAAGAGTAAAGGTCACTTTTAATTCTTTCATATACAAATGTTTTCCTTTTTCTGGGTCAAACATTAGAACAATGCAATCAAATTAAACAATACTTTAATAACCAAAAAAGAACAACTTGATCCATCATATCCAGAACAGTGATCCTGTTTGGCTTGTATGGAATTGTAGAAAATAACCAAGTCTCATGTACAAAGTCTTCCAACCTACGCTTTTAATGTATCCACAAGGAGGGTAGAGATGACCACAGGAATTAAAATGTCCTGACATGTCATGTATGTATCTTTGCACATCTTCTAACACACCACACCCTGACTTCTACAGCGGAGATGGATATTCATTTCACTAATGTGTTAAGAGTCCTGACAAATGCTCACCAAACCACTGTGTTATGAATGATGCAGAATGCTGTACCACCATATCACACGTGATGTAGTGTATGAACTGTCATTCTTGCCCAGAGAAGGAAGGAATGAGTTTATACATGGGCCACAATGGCACATACTAGGTCAGTTTGATTATCTGCACAAACAAAACTTTTCCCTCCCACTAACCTTGTCTAAATGAGAAGAATTTCCATTCATTTTTAGCAATGTAAACCAGTCATCCTTGTACTGGTCTTACAGACCATGCTTGAACTTTTTATTTCAATGAAAAAAACAAACTTGTCCTTACTGGATAATCTGTACAGTATTCCTAATGGCAATGGCTTCCAATTATTCAAAAAAAAAAATAAAAATATAATATATATAGGCAGCAGCAGGGCACCTTAAAGAAATAGCCTTTTATAAAGCATCCAGGTGTATCTGTGCGTCATCTCTGGACAACAAATGTTTTCCACAATCTCAGACAGTGTTAAATAAGCAGGTGTCCAAGTCTGTTACTGAGCGGCACTGCTCTTCTTTGTTTTACTCTTCTTGTCCTTCTTTTTCAGTCCATCCATATTTGCACGCAGTAAATTGGAATAGGCCTGTACGAAAAAAATAGATAAAAATAAGGGAGGAAAAAAGAAGAACTAAGTTACAGATCACAAGATGCCATAATGATGTCAGTAGAAAATCCCCTATTTGCTGCTACATCTTATATAATGAACATCACAGAATGACCTGCATGTTTTCAAAGTAGTTCCAAGTACATAGTGAGAAATGACAGTAGCTGACTGGTTACCCTACAGGAACTGAAGGAATCAGTTATTCAATACTTAAAGTGTATCTAAAACCCAAAAACAATTTTAAAATACAGGTTCAAATCCCAAACTTGATACTACCTGCACAGAGTTTACATGTCCTCTCTTGTACTTGTGTGGGTTTCATCCAGGTACACTAGTTTCCTCCCACTCAAACGTAAGTTAACTGGCCTTGTCTAAATTGGCCCTAGTATGTGTATGTTTGCACATGAGGCAGGCACCTTAGACTGTAAGCTCCCCGGGGAGGGGGAAGGGACTGATGGGAACATGCAAATATATGCAAAGTGCTGCATAAATTGTTGGCACTATATAAATACCAATAATAAATACATATACAGTATCTTTCAGCTTACCAGTCATTAGATGTGATGGCTGCATTCGTTCTTATTTTTCAGCATTTCTCTCTTTTTGATCTGGTGATCTGCCTGTAACACTTCCTGTCCTAGGGTGACCATGCTTTTACTGTATCTATAGAGCAGCAGCATTGTCACGCTAAGGCAGGAAGTGTCAGGGACTACAAAACATATCCCCCTCTCCAATAACAAAAGTTTCAATGGTAAATATAACAGACCAAAGGGAGCAAAATAGGAGACATTTACAGAGAGTATTTAACACAAGTTAAATAAGTGGTAGAATATACACAATTATGACTTCTGTAAACTCTAAATAGGTTTAGAAAAAAAATCTGAATTTAACATTATCGGATTGAGCGTGGGGTTCGGGCATCCTATGTCCAATCACAGTTGGACGTAGAATTCTATGAAAAGAATACAAGACATTTATGAACAGAGGAGCTACAGAGCAAGCAACTCATTGTCAGTTTCAGCAGCAGAAGTTTATTGCTTACATCACTGTCAAGGGGTGCATGAATCTATGGCAGCCATGAGTGGAAGACATCTCATGAGAGGTACGTTATTGGTAAATAATGCACCAATACTTTTTTTGCCTGGAGGTTAGCCCCATTACCTTTTATACCCTGCTGTTAGAAACCACGGGGCACCATACGGTCAACCTGACAGGGAACCCCTGCCCCCAAAACACAGTTTACTATGCTTCAGTTATGAATGAACACAGCGAGCGATTGGTACTGATCATTGTGTTTATTCAGTAAAGGAAGGGGCTGATAAATGTGACATATTTACCAAACCCTTCCTCACTCTCCAACCTGAAGGATCCTATTGTGTGCTTGCAGTTGCCAGTGGGAAAGAGAGGGAGGGGAGGGAGGAAGGAAGCCAGCAGCACTGTAGGAAGTGGGGGCACACAGGGGGGCCTGGGCAGAAGGGGGGAATGTATGGTGCACAGGAAAGGTGATGGGTGTGGCAGAAATTACTTGAACTGATCACCTGTATAGCTTTCTCTGCAGCACCTGAAAGTCACCTGGAGGAAGAGAAGAATTCAGCTTTCAGCTGCTGCAGAGAGCCATCCATCACCTTCCCTGCCCGGTCCCCATACAGAATGATTGGTGGTATCCTCTAACCCACGCCGTGCCCTGAAATGTTTTGTTGGTAATGTCTGCTCACAACTTTACACTGAAAAGTCCTTTGTGTAGCGAAGCCCAAACACCTGCTACAATGATAGAATGCAAGGATTGTTCTTCTACTACACTTGTTGCAGTACTTACCATCTGGAACTTGTTAACTTCTTTAGAACTGACCTGTTGGAAATAGAAGATAAAACTGCGTGAGAAGATCTGTCTCACTGGAGGCATCATGCTGTGCCCATTGACAGTCCACCTACCACTGTGCTGATTTTTTTCTTTCCATCTGTAGCTCTCAAAAGGCATTTGTTATCGGCTGGTTCAAAACTATCTGAATGTCCCTTACTGGGAATTGGTTTTGTCCGGCCATCATCTGTAGAAAATACAGCACATGATAAATTATTTCCATTACCAAATATTGGTGAATATTTTTTTTTTTTTAATATTCATCCTATGACAGATTTCCTTTAAGTCTATGTCTGAGATGCCAAACTCCCTGCCAGAAAATGGGTGGCAGCTATATTAAAGGCAAAGTTCACATTTAGGGAAAAAATTATAAAAGCAAATATTTTTGCAGAAAAAACAAAAAAAAAACAGTGCACTCGTAGTCTATTGAGATTTACAAGTCCGTCTGAGTTTCTTCATTCACAGATCCCTTTGAATGAATGACACTGCTGTACGGGTGGAGCCCTGAACAGTCAGGCAGATTTTAAATAGTGGCTGTGGGGAAGAAGGCTCAAGGGGTGAGGGAGACAAGTGTCGGAACATGTTACACTCTAAATATGTGTGTAACATATTCTAAAGGGCCCTTAAAGTAATGATCTGTCCTTAGCTGTGTTGTCCCCTGTTCACTGGGCAATGGAGAATCTTGCTAATGATTCAATTCCAATTAATAAAATGATGCAGGAAGCTACAAACTGAAGCAACAAACAGGAGAGCCACCTACCTAGCAACGTAGTGTGATGTGCATCACTAAACTTGAACAACAGATACATTTTACACGTGTCAGTACGTCAACGCGAGTGTCTCACTAGAGGTATAGCATTTCAATCATCGTATTCTGCAGAGCTCTGAGCAGTTTAGCATTGCTAACATTTTTAGACTGTCATAGATTTTTCAAAATTGATGCATAAAAAGTCAGGATAAGTCATAACTGCAACATTGTCCAAATTGTTCCATTTACTGTGAATAAAACTATTTTCGCTAAGTATAAAGACTCACAAACTAAATTGCACAGAAAGAGCTCTGAACAGAAAAGGAAACAATTCTAGGACAACAACTTTCAAATAAAAACTTGCATAGTGCAACTTACACAAAGCGGAATTTTCAAGGGAAACAGTGCTAACAGGTCAGTTGTCGACTGCGCTTATGCTGATCAGATGACGTTTTCCCGAAAACTTTACATGTCATCATAACCTTTGATGCTGTACCTCGCGATACGGAAGATAAATTGGCACCTTCCGTCACAAAGGCAACAGCTAAGTGGGCACCAACAATTTGCCCTCTTTGAAGCTCAGTAGACTCTGAAAAGCAGTGATCTACGAAAGTGAGGCTTCCCACCTGTTAGCTAGGTGTCTCATCACACAGCAGAAGCAAAAGAAAGTTACATCACTTCCGCTTTGAATGCAAAACATGTCAGCACTTTCACTCCTGCAAATCATGCAGTGTTTCCATTCTTCTGTCTAACCCCTGTATCTCTGACCTGCCTGGAAAGAATTGTGGGTATGGTATTGTATGGGAGGGAGCAAAGAGGTGCACTATAGGAAGTGATCAAGCTCCATTGCCCACTGCAGGCTGTTGGAGACTAAACAGAGGCTGAAGCTGGCTAATGTTAGTAAATAGTGCCATTCAGCTGGGAGAGGAATCTGAAGAAACCATTCAAAATGTACAGTTAACTGAGAAGAGAAGATTAAGGGGGAATATGATCTCCATGTATAAATACATCAGTGGTTCATATAGTGAACTCGGTGTAGAGTTATTCACCCTGAGATCATCACAGAGGACAAGGGGGCACTCTTTATGTCTGGAGGAAAAGAGATTTAATCTCCAAATACGGAAAGGTTTCTTCACAGTAAGAGTTGTGAAAACGTGGAATAGACTCCCTCAAGAGTTGGTTCTGGCCAGCTCAGTGGATTGCTTTAAAAAAGTCCTGGATTCTTTCTTAGATACACAGAATATAACTGGATACCAACATTTATAGGTAGAGTTAATCCAGGGAATATCTGATCGCCTCTCGGGGGATCAGGAAGGAATTTTTTTTCCCTGCAGGAGCAAATTGGATCATGCTTTGCTGGGGTTTTTTCCTTCCACCAGATCAACTGTGGGTATAGGATTATAACTTTTTTTTTTTAATGGTTGAACTGGATGGACTTTTGTCTTTTTTCAGCCAGACTAACTATGTAATTACAATGTTAATGGGAATGCACAATGAGTAGATTTAGCAGGATTTTAGGGAAAGTTGACCTGCTCTTTAACAGCTTTGTCAAGTACTTGCACAGACTGACTTAAAGCTGAACTTCAGCAAACATAAAAAAGTTACCCTTGCTGTTGATCCCTCTTTCCTACCCTTTATTCGTACATCCCTGGACTGCAAGGATACATTTTGCATAGTTCCCGGAGTTCAGCTATAAAATGAAGGAGCAGAAGCACACAGATAATACTCTGCTGTCTCCCGAAGCATTTTTAAAAAATAAAATTTAGCTCATTGATGCCAGAAATTCAGATGTAAAATGCTTTATTTATTTAAAAAAAAAAAAACAACCATGGAAAGAAACAGGTTGCCAATGTTGAGCTCTCCTAAACCATGCCCCTCAGCTAGATGACAGTATTGTTTCCGTTACAGAGTTGCAGTGAGCCAGAAATACAGTGACATGTGTAGTATCTGGGGTCAACACAAGTAGTTATTCTGAAAGACACAGGTGAGATCAAGCACACCTTAGACAGTTAACAGTTGTATGAACACATAATATTATAAAAAGCCTGGAGTTCTGCTTTACAGCTAATCTCCATGTTTCAGTTAAAGTTTAGTCATTTAAGACAAAGCTGGTCAAAACAAACTGGTTATTTCACTTTGGCTGGATTCAGACATGCATCTAAACCCATCCATGTTTGGATCGCTTTTCACAGACAACTGACATGCTTGGGGGGGGGAGGTGATGTCATGCCTCCTCACTGCCAGTTTGAACTCCATTTAAGCGCTTTTTATTTTTCTATTAACTTGAATAGGTCTTATTTAGTGGATCACCACATATTGGATAGTTTTTTTTCCGCGAACGTGAAGCATCATGGCCACTGCATTTAAACACCCTCATCCACTGCCACTGTAGCTTAAGGGGACTGCTTGGGGGTATTAAAATGGGGCTCAGCCATGCATTTCTACTGCCCCCCCCCCTCCTCAATGCACATCTAAACTTTAGCCTAACAGATGCAGTGCCTGTCAGAATTGTATGAACTGTATGGAGCCTCAGCTACATGCAGTCTACTGAATTGTGTTCTGTCCCACTTCTTCTATGAACACAAAGCTTCCTCTGATTGGCTGAGGTGGACAGATAATGTTGTGGTCTCTGAATCATCAGAGGAAGCTTTGTATTCATTCATAGAATATAAAGCTTGCTATGAATGGCTGAGCAGCGCCCATCCGAACTTGATTTTGTTGCAGGAGCAGAAAGGGACGTTCAGGAAGTTCCTGTCATGCTGCTAGAACACGGCAATGTATACTGTATGTAGCTGAGACTACATATACTTTATACAGCACTTACATTCACTGCAACTGTTAGTGAGGGAAATACTTTGTGTCGACCAGCTAGGAGTAAAGGAATGGTTTAAAATTCACTAAAACATGGAGATCAGCATTAAATACACTACAGAAGGAGTTTTCATAGATCGGTTTGACAAGTTTAAAGAAAGTTTCTTGATCTTGCCAGAAATCTTGTGAAGTGATCACTTCCTGCGCTCTCTGCTTTTGCTGCATGTCTATCAATTATACTGTTTTTCGTCATCTCTGGGGACTACAGGACACTTCCCCTGATTACAGTACAAATGAGCATTGTCATTCTAGGACAGAAAACATGCTAAAGGGCCAGATCATCTGGTGGAAAACAAAAGGAAAAAAACAAGATAAACACAGAACTAATGCAGTCACTATATTTATGAACTGCTAAGCTGAAAATAAATAAATAATAAGTGCAGATCCTCAGACAGTCCAAACTTACATTTCTTTAGTGTTATGAACACACTTCCTGAAGTGCGGCACTTCTGGAATAATCTTGTCAGTTCAGTCAGAAACTGAAAATACACAACAGAAAGAGATTTTACAATGTGAGCAGACATACTGAATGCACAAAGCTGTGATTCCTAGGGAGACCGGCACTAGTCAGGAATGGAGATCCTATAAAATCAGATATTGTGGAAAGTCATGTCCTAGGGCCCCAAGCAACTCCCAGGTTCCCCTTCTGCCCCCCATCCACACCTCTCTCAACCCCATTCAACCCTTCTCTTAAAGCCTGGTACACACATTTTTTTTCCTAATCAACCTAGTGGGCTGAACAAAAAAAAAAAAATACTGAGAGATCTCTGTACTAAACAAGCAATGTTGGTACAGCGATCTCTCCCGTTGTGCCTTTGTATTTTCAGAGGAGGACTCCCCTCGCCAGAACACACTAATCACAGCTTGCAGCCATTGGCTGCGATTGCTGATCGGATGCTGGTTTTCCAGCATTTAGCTTTAACAAAAGCCAGTCCTTAGGACAGTCGTGCATATCGTCCGAGTGTCATCCGGTTGCTGCTAAATTGGCCGATATTCAGACTGTGTGCACCCTGCTTCACTCTTACCTTTCTCCTGTGCTATCTAGCCATCCTTGGAATTTTACACCCACATATAACTTGTTTAAAGCCTATATTTAGACAAAAATTGGGGGGAAAAAAAAAACAGCACAACAGACATCACTTATAATCAATGCGATGTGTTCCTTGTGCTGCTGGCTAGTGCTTTAGTTTAAATCTTCCATCCTCTTATTTTCCCCAACCCTACTGCCATAATCTTTTGGTGCTGTGAGGTTAATAGAACCAAGGGACCTGTCATATGCACTTGTAGAGTGCCAACTACGCCCACCCTTTCCACCCCCTCCACCATTCATAAAAGTTGTATTATAACTTCCACAAATGAAAAGCAATCTACGGATGGAGGACAGGTTCTCTTATGGGGGGTGGGGTTCATGTCTGTCTTCTTATAAGGGGGATCACGCCTGTCCTCTATAAGGGGGAGGGGCATGCTTGTCTTCTCATGGGGGGAGGCATGCCTGTCCTCTCATGGGGGGGGGAGGGGGTAATTCCTGTCCTCTCATGGGAGGAGGGGGGGGTTATGCCTGTCCTCTCATGGGAGGAGGGGGGGGGCATGCCTGTCCTCTCATGGGAGGAGGGGGGCAAGCCTTTCCTTTTTATGGGGGGGGGGCAGCATACCTGTCCTCTTATGGTAAGAGGAGGAGGGGGGGGGCATGCCTGTCCTCTTATGGGAGGAGGAGGGGGGCCATGCCTGTCCTCTCATGGGAGGAGGGGGCATGCCTGTCCTTTTATGGGGGGGGGGCGGCGGCATGCCTGCCCTCTTATGGGAGGAGGGGGCATGTCTGCCCTCTTATGGGAGGGGGGGGGGGGCATGCCTGCCCTCTTATGGGAGGAGGAGGGGGCATGCCTGCCCTCTTATGGGAGGAGGAGGGGGGGCATGCCTGCCCTCTTATGGGAGGAGGGGGGGGAGCATGCCTTTCCTCTTATGGGAGGAGGAGTGGGGGCATGCCTGCCTTCTTATGGGAGGAGGAGGGGGGGTCATGCCTGTCCTCTTATGGGAGGAGGAGGAGGGGGGCATGCCTGTCCTCTTATGGGAGGAAGAGGAGGGGGGCATGCCTGTCCTCTTATGGGAGGAGGAGGTGGCAGGGGGGCATGCCTGTCCTCTTATGGGAGGAGGAGGCGGCAGGGGGGCATGCCTGTCCTCTTATGGGAAGAGGAGGCGGCAGGGGGGCATGCCTGTCCTCTTATGGGAGGAGGAGGTGGCAGGGGGGCATGCCTGTCCTCTTATGGGAAGAGGAGGCGGCAGGGGGGCATGCCTGTCCTCTTATGGGTGGAGGAGGAGGCGGGGGGCATACCTGTCCTCTTATGGGAGGAGGAGGAGGCGGGGGGCATACCTGTCCTCTTATGGGAGGAGGAGGCGGGGAGGTGTTGTATTGTACCTGTCCTCTTATGGGGGGAGGAGGAGGCGGGGGGGTGTTGTATTGTACTTGTCCTCTTATGGGAGGAGGAGGCGGCGGGGGGCATACCTGTCCTCTTATGGGAGGAGGAGGCGGGGGGGTGTTGTATTGTACTTGTCCTCTTATGGGAGGAGGAGGCGGCGGGGGGGGTGTTGTATTGTACCTGTCCTCTTATGGGAGGAGGAGGAGGTGGCGGCAGGGGGGCATGCCTGTCCTCTTATGGGAGGGGGAGGAGGAGGCGTGGGGGCATGCCTGTCCTCTTATGAGGGGGGGGGGGTTGTGTTGTGCCTGTCCTCTTATGAGAGGGGGGGGGTGTTGTATTGTGCCTATTCTCTTATGGGAGGAGGAGGAGGAGGCGGGGGCATGCCTGTCCTCTTATGGGAGGGGGGGCATGCCTGTCCTCTTAAGAGGGGGGGTTGTCTTGTGCCTGTCCTCTTATGGGCAGGGGATGGAGGGGCTGTGTTGTGTCTGTCCTTAATAAGGTCATGCCTGTCCTCTTATAGGAGGGTAGGGGGGGTGTCATGTCTTTCCTCCCTTAGCCTCTGATTGGTCCATGCTATTGGCACTGTAGTATATAGCGTACACCGGCATAGCATGAAGATCTGTTTCTCTACAGCAACTGCGAAATCAGTAAAAACAAGCTGAGCTAAGTCACCTAACTCCTTACATGCTGGACTACAACCCAGGCATGTTATTGGTCAGGATTCGGAAGCTAGGGCACCGTGACAGCTGAGCGGGGACATGGGCACAGGCTATCATTATTACCAGCACTGATCCCCAGGGATACAGGATTTCTCAGCAGCTGTAGCAGCCCACGTTGTAGTCCAGCATGTAAGGAGACAAGTGACTTCAGGTACCTCCCCAGCTTTAGATTGGCTTGTTTTCCCTGAATTTGGCACAGGAGCAGTAGCTGCAGGGTATACAGTCTTCATGGGATACACAAATCTTCATGCTACACCGGAGCTTTATTGGCTGCTTAGCAGGCACTTGTACTGAGAACCCAAGTGCTTCTGTGTGTGCGGGTAACTTAAAGGAATAAAGGTTCTTCTCCTTACTGGGGCCGGCGCCTTATTTCATCTCCAGATGCACTTCTGCTGAGCGTTAGGAGAGCCCGACGCTCCCCTTTCCTGACGATCAACCAATCGGCGCTCATTACACTGCAAGGTCTCTCCCCTCCCTGCTAGTCCCCGGGTGTGGTGCTGGAGACAGGCAGGGAGATGGTAAAATATTTTTTTTTTTTTTATCAGGACAAGTAGATTGGGACCCCGATTTAAAACAATGTCCACAGCCCTGTGTAAGGCCAGGGTCACAGGTTCAAACCAAGCCATATGCCTAGACAACACAGTGGCTAATGGTTAGCACTTCGGCCTGGCAGTACTAGGGTCATTGGTTTGAATCCCAACCATGGTACCACCTGCCTGGAGTTTGCATGTTCTCCCTGTGCCAACGTGGCTTTCCTCCGGGTACTCCGGTTTCTTTCCACGCTCCAAAGACATGCTGGTAGGTTAATTGTCTCCTGTCTAAATTGGCCCTAGTATGTGTATGTATGAATGTGAGTTAGGGACCTTAGATTGTATGCCCCTTGAGGGTTAGGGACTGATGGGAATGTATAATATATGTAAAGCTCTGCGTTTAGTGACAACACTATATAAGTACCTGAAATAAATGTCCCAGCCCTGAGCTCTCCCAACACACCATGTCTGGAGGCACACTGCCCATTGATTCCAGGGCCCCACTACAGCCCACCCTCCCCGCCTAGTCTTTGCTCCGTGCCGCGGTTGGAGGATCCGTATCCCTCATCGCTGGACCCGGCGTGTGCCTCACCTGCTCACTCTCCAGCAGCACCATCTTCTCTCAGAGCTGAGATCAGCACAAGACGCCGGAAACACATCAACAGGAAGTACAGCGAGAGGCTATCATAGAGCGCCCAACCATAGAGGGACGGTCTGTAGCACAGCCGTTTTAATAGCGCCACCTACCGTCTAGTTGAATATGGATCGCACGTCACTGTGTAAAGTAAAGTCCTCCAATGGAAAGGACACGCAGTCCTCTTCCTGTGATCTGAAGTCTGATTGGCTGCACTCTGTACATCTATTTTGTGCTTTATTGTTTAGGTCTCTGCTGCAAACGTTTTTTTACTAATTTGTTTTTGTGAACCAAAAGTGCCAAAAATTAAATTGCTAAAATGAAAGTATAACTAAAGGTAAACGTTTTTTTTTGTTTTGGATATTGTGTAGAGGGATTAGATCCCCTGTCGGTTTTTATTGCTGTCTGCCCCCCCCCCCCCCCCCCCCCCCCCCACACACACACACACACACACACAATTCACCCTCTCTATTTGTCTTGTTTACCATTGTTATTGAAAGTAAAAGAAAAACCCAAATTTTGGGTTGTCCCCAGAAAGGTAATAGAGGAGAGACACTAGTTCTGGTAATCTCAGGGTGGGGGTTTGCGTAGGAATCCCCTAATTTACAGGGATTTCCTCCTACTTCCTGTTTGGCTATGGGACAGGAAATGAAGGGAAATCTCCATGCTGTAACATATATGCTCTATCCAACATGCAAAAAAAAGTTTTGCCTATAGTGCTACTTTAAAGCAGAACTACACTGCATCTGAGTACCACAAAACAAAAATGCTATTTAACCACTTGCCCACTGCGTACTTTCACCCCCTCCCTGCCTAGGCTAATCTTCAGCTTTCAGCGCTGTTGTGCTTTTATGACAATATAACAGTCATGTAACAGATGGAGCTTTCCTTTGGTGGTATTTAATCACCGGGGCACCGGGGGGTAATTTTTTGCTAAACTATTAAAAAAGACCAAAAATGTTAAAAAAACCACTTTTTCTTCAATTTTGTTAGAAGATTTTGCAAAAAAGCTATTTTTCTTCTTCACTGATGGGCACTGGTGAGGCTGCACTGAGGGGCACTGATAGATTGCACTTATGATGTATACTGATGAGGCTGCAGTGATAAGAGGATTTGATGGGCACTGATAGGCTGCACTGATGGGCATTAATGAGACAGCACTGAAGGGCACTGATAGGCTGCACTGATGGGCACATGAGGTTGCACTGATAGGCAGCACGGATAGGCTGCACTGATGGGCACCGATTAGGAGGCACAGGTGAGGCTGCACTAATAGGCAACATTGATGGGCACTGAAAGACGGCACTAATCTGTTCTGATGGGCACTGATGGACTGCACTGATGGGCACTGCTAGGCTGCACTAATGGGCACTGTTGGGCTGCACTGGTTGGCACTGATGGGGCTGCACTAAAAATCAAGCTGTTGCAGTGCATGAGGAAAAGACTGCCAATACCTGGCAAGTATGTTTACATTGTGATCAACTGTACTTTGACACAGCTGATCACATAGTAAAGGTCCGCTGTGATTGGCCCTTTACTTCGCTCTGTGTTCAGCTGTGCCCTCCCAGAACTAGCTGACCAAGCTGTGGTTGTCATTTGGCTCTAGCGTGGTCGACAACTGAAAAATCACTTAGAAAAATACTCCCTAACATTTCTGACTATGACCATCTTAAGTAAGGGCCGATGATTCATCTAGCATTTATGTCCTGAAATCCACATTGCAGGATCAAGATCAGGCTCAGGTAAGTATTGGGAGAGGCTGGGGGGGGGGGGGGGGGTAGCTTCACACAGAAGGTTCTTTATTTTAATACAGAGAATGTAGGTAAAAAACCTTCAGCCTTTACCACCTTAAGGAGATAGACCGTCAAGGAAGACCTACTAGGAAAGTGGGAAGAGCTGATTAATGTGAAGAAAATAGGCCATAGGGTGGTCTCCCAAATTAACATGTAGGCAGGTGCAGTCTATTTTCACTCGGTTTAGGGAAACTTGGTTTCTCTATGGTTCCCTAGAGCTGCATTCTGGTTGGCAATGCTTCATCCAGGTGACCCTAGTGGCCATCTTGGGTCACGTAGAGTTTTTTCAAGTGACTGCCCCCAGGTTTTTCTGAAGGACCCCCAGGTTTTGGTGCACATTTAAAAAATGGCTAGTGTAGGGAGAGCATACCCGTGTCAGGAACAGCACTAGTGGTAGGGACAGGGTTTCTGAGAAGTAGGGATAGCTCAGAGCCAAAACTTGCACATCAGCAAGCTCCCTTTTGGGACTGACCAGGTTGCATTCAACCCCCCTTGGAAAGAGCTGTCTTCAGTTCGGACCTACTACCACTGTCCTCTCCACTGCATTGAATGTAAGTTCCTGGTCGGGTGAGCTCCTTTGTCGATTTGTTGTACTGTTTGCAAGTTCTTCAATACATTGGTTACTGCACTCTGGGGCTCGGTGTGATTACTGCCACAGCACCATGTTGCACCTACCCAGCAAGCTGTGGTTAGTTGAGTGGGACACCATTTTTAGCTGTGCCACCAGCAAGACACTATAAGTGGAGAATGTACTTTTATATAGGGGTGGGGAATTTATTTAAATGTATATCATTAACCAATTGTACAATTTAATTTTAGTATAGTATAGACAGCAATATGTATCTTAATGAAGAACAGAAACATAGCTAAGAGGGTATTAGTGAAATTTATACATTTGTTTAGCTAGATACAACTTTTAAGCTGGCCATACATGGCTCTTGCCGAATCAGCTGAAATTTGAGCCATGGGTATCTTAATGAAGAACAGAAACATAGCTAAGAGGGTATTAGTGAAATTTATACATTTGTTTATACATCTGTTTAGCTAGATACAACTTTTAAGCTGGCCATACATGGCTCCTGCCAAATCAGCTGAAATTTGGACCATGGGTTGCTCTGTTGGCACCACCCAGCTCAGCAAAAGCTGGATTCAAATTCAAAAGAGTTGGGTAGTAAATTATTGACAGAACTGCATCAAATCAGATGTATCATCCAGTCAAATGCAGTCACAATTCGGGTATTCAAACAGCCACGACTATTGAGGCTGTCTAAATACAATAGCCACCGGAGAAGATTTCCCCATCCACATTGTTTAGTATGGATAGGGAATTGGAGTGATTTCTCTCATGTAGGGATGATAATGAGAAATTTTCATGTGTATGGCCTGTCCTTCATATATCACAGCAAGCAACTGCTGAAGGAAGGAGGTGGTGTACCAAAAAAGTCAAAAAGTACAGTCTATTTAAAGTGCAGCAACACAACAGTTCTTGCAGAGAATACAGTGACAAACACTAATTGCACTGCAAGCACATTTGCCATAAATTATTTATAATATATTGTTTTACCGTTCTGCTGAATACTGCAAAATCTGTTGTGATTGCTGATGTGTTGAAGGTTTTTGTAGGTGGCAAAAATTCTGTGTAATAAAACTAATTAGGAGGCAATATACTGTGACAAGTTATGAATCATGTGGTGTGAAACTGGAAATCCTGTGTATGTACAGTGCCTTGGAAGTCCCTTGAAATTTTCCATATTTCATCATGTTACAACTAAAAACATAAATCTATTTTATTGGGATTTTATATGATAGACCAACACAAAGTGGCACATAATTGTGAAGTGAAAGGAAAATGATATATGTTTTTCAACATTTTTTACAAATAAATATCTGAAAGGTGTGGTGTGCATTTGTATTCAGCACCCTTTACTCTGATACCCCTAACTAAAATCTAGTGGAACCAATTGCCTTCAAAAGTCACCTAATTATTAAATAGAGTCCACCTGTGTGTAATTTAATCTCAGTATAAATACAGCTGTTCTGTGAAGCCCTCAGAGGTTTGTTAGAGAACATAGTGAACAAACAGCATCATGAAGGCCAAGGAACACATCAGACAGGTCAGGGATAAAATGGTGGAGAAGTTTAAAGCAGGGTAAGGTTATAAAAAAATGTATATTACATAGTGCACGCTTGTTAGAGCCCAGTCTCTGTAGCTGTAAGATAAAGGTGCCAGATGGATATCAGGGATGGATGGATGGGAGCAGTAACACTGAGGCAGCTCTTCTTAGAGTGGAAGCAAGGCTCTAATGCAGTAACATGAAAGAGAGAGGAAGGCGCCTCTAAGTGCAGTATTGACAATTTATTTAGTAAACAATGGATAAATTGCACTTACAAGATAAATAGTGAAAAAGACTCATCATGTAGTGTAATAAAATCCAGATGGAACATCCAGCCATCCAGCATGCTCAATAGGCTTCTTCAGACCTCTGTATTACCGCCCCCTTCACCTCCTACATCCGACTCTGCTCTCCAAGCCTCATTTTGATGCACAGGCACATCCTGGGCTCTACTTCCTGATCCTAAAGACAGAGTTTGTTGCTGGACGGCTGGATGTTCCATCTGGATCTTATTACATCACACGATGAGTCTTTTTAACTATTTATCTTGTAAGTGCAATTTAACCATTGTTTACTAAATAAATTGTCAATACTGCACTTAGAGGCGCCTTCCTCTCTTTTTCATTTAAGGTTATAAAAAAATATCCCAAGCTTTGAACATCTCACGGAGTACTGTGCAATCCAGCATCTGAAAATGGAAAGAGTATGGAACAACTTCAAACCTACCAAGACATGGCCGTCCACCTAAACTGACAGGCCGGGCAAGGAGAGCATTAATCAGAGAAGCAGCAAAGAGACCCATGGTAACTCTGGAGGAGCTGCAGAGATCCACAGCTCAGGTGGGAGAATCTGTCCACAGAACAACTATTAGTCATGCACTGCACAAATCTGGCCTTTATGGAAGAGTGGCCAGAAGAAAGCCATTGTTGAAAGAAAGCCATAAGACGTCCTGTTTGAAGCCATGTGGGGGACACAGCAAACATGTGGAAGAAGGTGCTCTGGTCAGATGAGACCAAAATTGAACTTTTTGGCCTAAAAGCAAAACACTGTATGTGTCAGAAAACTAACACTGCAC